CTTTGCATGCACGGGCATTCTCATTTTGTCTCTATAATTTTCTTTTATACTCGCATAAACACAAGCACAAGATGTTCACATACATTCCGATATTCTATAAGGATTTAATGTAAGAAAATACATAAATTGTATACATGTTTATATATATATATATATATATATATATATATATATATATATATATATATATATATATATATATATATATATATATATACATATAATATATATATATATATATATATATATATATATATATATACAAATTTTCGAGGTACCCACTTTCGAGGTAGTGACATTTTATATTTTTTTTTATGTATCTTCTGAAACTCGTTGGTTTGTGCATGTAATATATAATATGATGAGAATGAGTATAGATCAACTAGTCTTATTCTGTAGAATACAAACCAAACCAAATTTATCGTACTTGAGAAAGTATAAGATACCAACTTGAAATTACGATATCACAGGCCAAAACATACTTGATTACTAGGGCAAAATATACACAAGATGGCATAGCTCAGTGGTAGAGCGGTGGCTTTGCAATTGCATGGTTCTACACACACATATTTATACATACATACATACATACATATATAAACAAACACTATAATTGGTACAAAAAGATGAAAATAACTGACGAGCGTTATGTTATAAACATAATGGATATACAAAGAAAACTTTGACATGGTTATATAACCAGAAAAAGGCACGGGCAAATTATGAATTAGTGGAAGACTAGAGAAAGCTTTACTTATGACCGTGTAAACTCAGGCAAGCCCCAGTGACCAACACTTAATTGGCAATAACTCGGTTTTTAATCAGGAGGGACCTTTATTTTTTTCTTGTAGGCGAATTTATATAGGAAAAATAGATAGCTCTCAAGTTTCCATCGTTTTTCAGGTGAAAAGCAAGTTTGATATGCATATATGTATATGTGTGTGTGTGGATTTGTGTATGTATTACGCGAGTGCCCACTTGAGTATATAACATACTGAAAAAATGTGTGCATAGAAAAAAGTAATAATAAAACAAGCTACAGGTTGAAATACATTTACCTTTAATCAAAAGTGAGTGTACATCATCGAGACAGGTAAAAGAGTCGTATATTTGCCCAAAGTGAAAGGAGAATAATGCTCCTTTAACAGTCATTTTAGCCAAAGAAGAGCCACCCAAAGGTGATGGTGGAGCCAGTGGGGAGAGTGAGCGTGGTGGTGAAGCACCTGGGAATGAAACACAGCAGGATGCAGCGGGTGAAGGTGACGCTCACTTGACGACGGTCTTGAACACTGTCATTCTGTTCTTCAGTGACCAGTTTGTAAACGGGAAGGTCGCCACAGAAGTTGGCAAGATCCGAGCCGATCTCCTCCTCAGGATTGTCGAGGGAAACAGCGGAAACTCTGACGTCAGACTCAACCCTCATGCCATCATCCTGATGGCCTTTGATGAAGGCTACTTGTTGCTCGAAAGATTTAACCAGTCGCCTCACGTAACACGCTTCCTGGGATACCACTCGAGATGCTGCTAGACCCTGCGAAGTGCATAAATTTTGATATATTTATGGTCATTTCCCCGGAATTCATACAACTGAACAAATTGAAGAATTTCTCATGCATTAACAGTTCAAAAAACAATAACGTAAAGTTCATCATAGTATCCAGTGATGACCACAAGTATTACTACCACACTATAATCCTCCAGAGTTTCCACGTCATCGAAGTCGTCGGATTCAGGCATGTGGAAGTGAATTTTCATGGCAAGGCGGTCTACATCCACTTTCATGCAGCTGTTTTCAGCGGCGCTGTTTCCCTTGTAACATATTTGGTAATCCTACCAAGAAAAACGGTCATCTTTTGTAATATTAAGTATGCTTCACATGAGAGATAAACTGAACTGTTGTATATGTGACATAAAAGGTAATAATTTCTTGCTTAAACATGCATATCAACAGCGTGTTCATACCTGAACCTCAGCCAGGGAGAAGCCTAAGAGGCAGGAGAGCATCAGCCAAGTGAACATGGTGTGATCTAGAAGGAAATATAATTAATTAAGTGGTATAAAAGTGACAGATCTTGAAATACATCCATTTCCTGTACCCTGAACCTATACAGTAATCATAGTGAGAAACATCCGCTTAGGAATTCCAGGATGAAATGAAGAGATAAAATAACGAAGGGGTTCATTATAGGTACGGGATAAAAAAAAAAAAAAAAAAAAAAAATCATAAGACTACGCATGTATATTACATAAAATTGTGTTGCAAGAATTTTACTATAGGCTATTGGACGGATTATGAGACAGGTAAGAGGTATGAGAATCGTTACTCACCAAGGATAGCTACCACTGGTGATGTGAAATCGTCCGCGAAGTTTATATATCCCTCAGAATGTCGTACGACCTTTGGAAAGGAAGAACTCCTGTTCCTACTAAAGCACCACCTGTGAAAACATTTTTACGCTATGTTTTCCATTCAAAATTTGTTAATCGGCAAAAAATCTTC